TTCCCTACTTTTAATATTTACTTAGGAGATCTTTCCACGTTAGTGCAAATATATGCAGCTCATTCTTTGGAAGCGCTTTATAATTCCAGTAGAACTATAGTATAGTTTAACTACTTCCTATTGTTGGACATTTGAGTTGATTTCATTTTTTTCCAACACAAATGTCCATGATCATTTGACATTTTTTAATCTGAAAAGAAGAAAATTTAATGGTAGGAGAAAGTCTCGGAGTCAGATGTGGACTCTATCCTCGCTACGAGGCTGAGTAGTTGTATAACCTTAGGCAAGTCACTCCATCTCTCTTTAGTTTCTTCCCCCTGTGAAAGAAGGGCCTTAGACTTTGTATCTGCTGAGTCTCTTCACCAAAACTTAGAGGAAACTCTGAATTTAGTGCCACAGCGCTCTGAAATCAGAGTATGTTGTTATACAATCATAGAAGATATTGTGCTTCCAAGACTCTCTTATTAAAGGCAAATCACATCGGCTTGATGAGTTGTTTCCAAGCCCTCAGATCACTGCAGTCCTGCTGGTCTGGAGACGTTCACAGCTGGATTGGGAGATCAATTCATATTGACTTTCCAGTTATCCAACTATTTACATTTTTCCCATTTTTAGATTGTGTTAACAGAAATGTACTATGATGGGTTCCATCGTTCCTTTTGTGACACAGACGACCTGGAAACAGTCCATGAAAGCGACTGCATTTTTGCCTTTGAGACTCCAGAAATATTTAGGCCTGAAGGAATTCTCAGTCAAAGAGGTAAATGAGTATCTGTTTCCATAATACCACCTGGGTTTGCAGGTCTAACAAATGTCTACTCTCTTAGATTATTATATGATGGTATAATTTTTTTAAATTGTGGTAAAATACACATAACACATCTTTTGATGATGGTATAAATTTTAGGTAACATATTTCCCTGGCAGAAGGCAGTTCTTGGGAAAAACTTTGTTCCTGGCCTTAGCGTTCTTCAAGATCCTAGGGCTTCTATTCTGTTTGCTGTACTCCAGTGGTTGTCAAAACATCAGTGTCTCCTGGGAACTGATTAGAAATGCAGATTCTTAGGTGCCACTCCAGACCTGCTGAGTGCTGGGGGCAGAGCCCAGCAATCTGTTTTTAACAGGTGATTCTGTTGCACGTGAAAGTTTGAGAACCGCTGCTCTACCCAGTCTTACCAGTATTTTCTACTGGTGATTTTTAGAGCTAAACTCTCTACTAGCCCCCACTTTTCTTCTGGTTCCATTCCCTGACTTCCAGCTGTCCACTGGAATCTCTATTTATAGTCCTACAGGTACGTTACACTGAGCGTTTCTTTCTTAGCTCCTCTTGCGTTTCTTCTGTGAAATGCGGCATCACCATCCTTCTCTTCACCCAAGCGGGACCCAAACACTTCTCCCTCAGATTTTGACTTAAATCCACAACTGAAGTTTTCCTCTGCATTCTACTGCGACTGACACAGTGCAGACGAGTCTCAACTGGGCTTTTCTAGTAACTTCTTTACCCTTGGGCTTTCTCCCGTTCAGTTATTTCTTCACAGCGCCACCAGACTTATTCTGACGTACAGTTCTGACGACGTTAACGTGCTTATTGATTTACCAGTGCTTCCCTTTTGTCTGCGATTAAATCTGAATACCTGGGAAGAATGCATAGCCCCTCATAATTTGGTCCTTGCCTTTTTTCCAGCCTCTCTACTATATTCCATTTTCTTCCCCATGTACCCTATCCAAGTTACTCTTCATTTCTGGAACATGCCACATGCTTTTATACTTTCCCTATTGTTCGCTTTGCTAAAAATTCATTTCTCCAGCTCCCGTCTCATTAGCTCCTACTTTGTCTCCCCTAAGGACACCTCCCAATCTCCCCATCCCACCCAGTCCTCAACAGTCGTTATTCTACTTTCTGTCTCTATAGATTTCCCTAGTCTAGACTTTGATATGAATGGAATCGTATAATAAATGGCCTTTTGTGACTTTCTTTGACTTAGCATAGTGTTTCAAGGTTCATCCACATTGTAGCATATATCAGTCCTTCATTCCTTTTTATGGCTGAGTATTATTCCATTATATGTATATACCACATTTTGTTTATCCATTCATCTGTTGGTGGACATTTGAGTTGTTTCCACCTTTTGGCTATTATGAAATACTGCTGCTATGACCATTCACGTACAAGTATTTGAATACCTATTTTCAATTCCTTTGTAGGTATGTACCTAGGAGTGGAAGTGCTGGGTCATATGGTAATTCTATGTTTAACTTTCTGAGGAGTTGCCAGACTGTTTTCCATAGCACCTGGATCATTTTTCATTCCCACCAACAATATATGAGGGTTACAGTTTCTCCACATTCTTGCCAATGTTTGTTATTTTCTGCCTTTTTGATTATAGCCATCCTAGTGGGTGCGAAGTGGTATGTCATTGTGATTTTTATTTGCATTTTCCTAATGACAGATCATGTTGGTCATCTTTTCATGTGGTTTTTGGCCATTTGTATATCTTCTTTAGAGAAATGTCTATTCAAGTCCTTTACCTACTTCAAAATTGTGTTGCTTGTCTTTTTGTTTTTGAGTTGTAAGAGTTCTTTGTATCTGCTGAATACTAGACCTGTATCAGATATATGACTTGCAAATATTTTCTCTCATTCTGTGGGCTATCTTTTTACTTCCTTGGTAGTGTTTTTTGATGCACAAAAGTTCTTAATTTTATGAAGTCATATCCAAGAATCCATCACCAAATCCAAGGCCATGAGGTTTACCTGTGTTTTCTTCTAAGAGTTTTATAGTTTTAGCTCTTACATTTGGGTCTTTGATTCATTTTGAGTTAATCTTTGTGTGTGGTGTGAAGTAGGAGTTCAGCTCCATTCTTTTGCATGTGAATATCAGTAGTCCCAGCACCATTGTTGAAGAGATTATTCTTTCCTCGTTGAATGGCCTTGGTACCCCTGTTGAAAGTTCTTACTTTAGTTCCTCTTTTCCTTCACCTCTACTTCTAGAGGTGTCTGGTACCTCTAGTCTCTGAACCTTTGGTAATTCTGTATTTTGGGTTGGTCGGCTTTCTGCACTGCCAGCTTAGGATTCAGTTTTCTCTGGCTACTCATATTTACATTATTATTTTTTTGAGTCTTATTTCAGTTGTCATTCTTTGACTTGGGAGCTTTTTTGTTTATTTTCTAGTTGTTGTGTTTTCAGGCATGTGCTTTTGTTTGTTTAAATTGTTCTCTAATTTTAGTTGCATTATAGTAAAAAATAGCCAATCATCACCTTGTCCAGAAAACCTTTCCTCACTTCCCCCACCCCAGACTGGCTGACTGACTTCTGTTCTCCTGTGTTCCAGTGTAGTTTCTGCTAATCTCTGGCACTAGCACGTTGTATGGAAATGCTCTGTTCTCTATCCTTCCTACCAAATCGTGAAATTCTCTGCCGTTGGGACTACACTTTTCTTTATCTTTCTGTACCTAGCAGTTTAGTGTACTTCTCAATACACAGCAAGAGCCCAGCTAACGTTTGTTTAACTGAAAATTTCCCCCAATCCCCCTTCATACCCCAGTTGCTTACGGTTAACACTAAGTTTCTATTTATAAATGAATTTGGTGAGGTCCAAAGTTATATAGTCTAGCCAGAGAGTGCCTTTGTTGGAAGAATATACCACTAGTGAATATGCGTAAGCCTCTGTTCTTTACAAAGGCCTCATCAATATTTTGTTGGTGCATATGAGGCTACTACTGTCTTCCCCAGTTCACCGGTGAGGGAGCTGAGACTTAGAGAGGTTAGTTCACGGGCCCAGGTCACACAGTTGGTAGTGATGGGCCTGGACTATGAATGCGGAGCTTGATTTCTGAGCAGTTGAGTGGTATCCTCTCATCTCATTGGGAATCCTGATCACTTTTAGCAGAACTGGTCTTCCCAGCCTTACTTCTGCCAAGAACCTGGGAAATGAGCCTGTTAATTGTCTCAAATTCAGACTTCTATTTATTTTTCTCATACCAAAGTTTAAGGTGGTTGTGAAGTGAAGTCTGCTGCTCTTTTGTGATTTCTCTATGGTATTTAAGCTTAAAAAGTTTTCTTCCCTCTAATAGCTTGGTGAAGATTCAGTTCTTCCTTATTTCCAGTTTCTATGTTCTCGTTTCTAAACTCTAATTAATCTGGAATTTATTTTAGTATTAACTCTGTATGTTAATAGGTTCAGCAAATCTCCTATTGCTGGATGTTTAGGTTATTGCTGGAGTTTTGCTATGGATACTTTTGTGTAAACCACCTTTTATTTTATTCTCCTTTTGGTGATATTGTTATTATTTCTTTGGTGTGGTAGTGGTGGAGGGCTTCTTCTGTTCTCCAGTTTGGGGTATCATTTCCTTAGGCTATACTTCCAAAGGATTAAAGAAATGAGCAATTGTTTAGTCAAGCATTTATTGAGTTCCTACTAAGTGCAGGACCTTGTGCTAGGTGCTGAATTGCTAAGTACCTCTGATTGACAGATAGCTCTGCTTTGGGGCATGTCTGAAGACCTGGTTTTTAGCAACCAGCACTGTGCCTGTCAAACATATATTTTTGTTCACTTTATTGTAGGTCAATCCAGGCTAGTTGATTGTATTAAAGTTCCGTAATGGCTGGGTTTCTTATAAGTCAGGGTCTAAAGCGGGGAAAAGAAGCTGCTGTTGGAATATTGAAGATCATTCTACATGTACTAGTCTTTATTTTTTATTAAAATTTTTTTATTTGGTTGCTGCTTGTATGGTTTCACTTTAAGTTTGTCTTGGTGGGTCATCTCTGCATACTTGCCATTCTAAAACTAATATTCATTGAAGTGAAGAGTTTTAATTTTCAGTTTTTAAGGTAGTAGGTAGGTAAGGCGAGTTTAAATGAAATAATGGATGCAAAAAATTTTCTTATGACTAGATGAGTAATCTCAAAGTAGGTCATTTGTTCCTTTTTTCAATTGCAGCTTAAATAACATAATGACAACTTCTTAATTTCTCTAATGGGTAAATTTTTTGTAATGAAAGAATAAAAAATTTTGAAGAGATAAAGTAAGTTTTCATTTTGTTTTAGGAATCCACTTAAACAACAACCTAAACCACTTGAAATTTGGCTTGGATCATTATAGACTGTCTTCTACACAAGCAGCAGCAAAGCAGGGGAGAGTGGACTTAACCCCCGCGACAGCAGGAAGTGACAAGATTGTTCTGTTAGTGTGTAACCGAGCCTGCACTGGGCAGCAAGGGAAAAGGTGAAGACCCACTTATTTTCCAATAAATACTGAGACTTTAAAAGTCTAATATTTTCAAATGTTTTAAAAAGTAGGGATAAAAAAAATCCTTACTTTTAGTAGTTAATTGTTGATTCTGATATTTAGAAAGAGCACGTGTGTAAATTGACCTGATTTGAGGGGTTGGGAGGGGGAGAAGATAAAATTAGGATGATAAGGTCTGAGTTAGAATGGCTCCCAAGCTCATGTAGTTTTTAAAGGCACATTTCTCTTGTATATTTTCAGCTCAAGATCCTCCTGGGTATCTAGACCTATAGACCTATATCCAGCTACTTTCTTTACAGCATTTTTTCTTCTATTAATTCTTAACATATCTACTTGGATGGCATGTGCACCTCATTGTGTTCCAAACTGAACTCATTGTGTTTCCCTATAAACCTGACCCTCCAGTATTTCCTGGCTTGGCAAATGGCACCAGTATTCATTCAGCTGCATGTAGTCAGACATTTGGGAGTTAGAAATCTCTCTCAAATCTGTGTCCTTCTGTAAGCATTTATGAGAGTTACTTTTCTTTTTTTTTTCCTAAACATCTTTATTGGAGTATACTTGCTTTACAATGTTATGTTAGTTTCTGTATGGGAGTTACTTTTAAAGTAACTTTATCACAATAGTAATGTAACTTGAGTAATAACAAGATATGGATGTGTCTCAGGGAGGAAGGATACCGTGTTTCTAATATTTGTCAGAGTAGCATTTATATTAACTTTTTAAAATGTTGCTTTGAAATAAGTTTCTTATTTAAGAATGGTAAATAACATAAAAGCAAAATGTGTTGATTTGTATATTTATGATGTTCATTAGCAGGTACTTTAGTGTTTACAGTGTGTTGGCCACTATTCTGAACACTAGGGATACAGCAGGATCTGTGTGTTCTCATGGAGCTTGCATCCTAGTTAGGACAGAGCCACTAAAGACAAGTAAACACATTTAACTTCAGACAGTCATTGTCACTTTGAAGATGTTAAAACATGTGGGTGTGATAGAACGTGCTGGTGGGGTCTCTAGCAAAACTGTATTAGAGAGGGAGGTGAGGGGGGGCCTCCCTGAGGACGCAGCAGCTGGGCTGAGCCGAGTGGGAAGGTGCGCACTGTGTGAGCCTCTTGGGAAGGGATTCCGTGAAGAGGCGACATTGAGTACAAAGAAGCTGAGATTATGGCTGAGTAATATTCTATTGTATATATGAACCACATCTTTATCCAGTCCTCTGCTGATGGGCGTTTAGGGTGCTTCCACGTCTTGATTCCTGTAAATAGTGCTGCTGTGAACATTGGGGTGCAGGTATCTTTTCGGATTATGGTTTTCTCTGGATATTACCGGGGGAAAGGGGGCAAGGGATAAATTGGGAGATTGGGATTGACATATACATACTACTATATATAAAATAGATAACTAATGAGGACCTACTTGTATAGCACAGGGAATTCTACTCAGTACTCTGTAATCCCCAATGTGGGAAAAGAATCTAAAAAAGAGTGGATATATGTATATGTATAACTGATTCACTTTGCTGTACACCTGAAACTAACACAACCTTGTAAATCAACTATACTCCAGTGAAAATTAAAAAGAAAAAAAGTTGCTGAGATTAGAAGGAGCTTGGCGTGCTTAAGGGACAGAAGAAAAGGCAGCTCATCGTATTTATATAAAATAATTATGAAATCCCTTTCATGTTGCTAGTCTCTTAAAAGTGAGGACATTGTCATGTGAAAAATATGGCTACTGATTTACACATCGTGCTTGTAACTTATTTCTCATCACAGTTGTCTTTAGGAAGGTAGGCTCACTCTTGAGTACTACTGTGAGTAAACTGGTACTTGTTAGGAGCGGGTTTCTTGGTGACCTTAGCACCCCTGCTTTGGCCTGAGTCAGGGTTTATCTGTTTGTTTATTCACTTGTTCATTCATTCATTCAGCATCTACTGTTGTCTAGGTATTGGCTGTTTGGGCTAGGGAGGTAAGTCGGTCACAGTTCCTGCTGTCAGGTAACACAGTCTGTTGGTGGAGGCAGCAGAATAAGCAGGCAGTATTTGTAGTGCAGCAGAGCTCAGGGAACAGATCAACAGGGTGCCAGTGGCTCCTTCTACAGATGAGTAGGAAATAGCTTAAAAGAAGAGTGAGAAGGGTAGTCCAGACTGAGGGAATTGGCTGTACGTTGGCGGTGTGAGTCGGACGCATTCAGAGCACAGCATGCAGGTCTGAATGGCTGGGGCTTGGGTGAGAGTTAAGGCTAGGCCAGTACTCCTCCACGTTGGCTGCATATTAGAATCACCTGGGGAGCTCCTCAAACAGCCTTAGTGCTCCAGCCACAGACCAGAGGGATTGCAGCAGAATCTCGGGGGAATCATTGTGTTTTAAAGTTCCCTCGCTGATTTCAGCCTGCAGCCACTGCTGAAAACCATGGCTCTGCCTCTGATTCTCTAACACCTGTGAGCTCAGCACTGGATAGGAAACCTGGCAGGGGCCATGTGACTTCTACCCTAGGCTAGGAGCTGACTTTTAGTGTCACTTGCTTGCCAGTGCCTTCCTTGTTGTCAGGCCACCGGGATGTGGCTGCCTCCCTGCTAGACCTTCCAGCCCTATCTTTTCCTCTGGCACCTAACCCCTTATATGTTTGACCCATGCTGCTTGCTGGACTCGTGTCCACTCCCACCTGCTTTCCTCCCCATCTCCACTAATCCTGTCATCTTATTACCTGGCACCATACTCTATTAGAAGCCATTTTGGTGTATGAGTTGTTAAATTTCATTTAGAAATCTCAGTTTCCCTTCTGAATGTTTCATCCACTTATGAGAGTATTAAATTTCCTGTTTGTTTTATTTTGAGAACTGTCCTAAAACTAATTGTATTGTGATTCCATTTAAAAAGATCATGAATAAAGAGTTACAGTATTAAAGGAATCGTCATACTTTTTAAGGTGATTATAATATTTATGTGTGTTAGATTTGGACTACCTTTTGTGCTGCACGTAGAGAAGACAATAGCATGGGACCTTCTGCAGAGGGAAATCTTGGAGAAGATGAAGTATTTCTTGAGGCCCACAGTTGGCATTCAGGTGTGTAAGCCTTTTGGTACTCCAGCGTAGCATGTGTGTGCCCAGGGAAGAAAGTCATTACAGTGAGATTGGAAGTTCAGACCTTTGCCCTTAGGGAAGACCAGACACTGAGCTGGAATGCTGGGGAGCCCTGGAGAAAAGCTGCGTAGTAAAATCTGCTGTGTTCAGGTTTTCCAGAATGAGGACTGTCCCTCATTTTATGAAGGGAGCTGACCACTGCACGGTTTTCCATGCACTGCCAGGTGTTCCTTTATAATGTTTGTCTAATAAAGTTTAGCACATGATTGGCTTGGAGAGATTTTGTAGACTATCTATATATTTTCAAAATTATGATTTCTTTGTTAAGGTATCCGTGGAAAACTTATATTAATGTTCAGCTAAAGTAACATATTACTTGTCTTGCATAACATATTTGATATGTAAATTGCATTTGGGGCAATCATATTTAAAGTGTATTAGAGTGGCTCAACAGCCTCACAGAATGTTGTAGAGAAGCATTTTGCAAAACAGTTTGCTCTCCCTCTAATCTGTTTTGGAAATGCCCCGGTGAACCACATGCCCTCGAAGAGAAACTCAGCCTGATTTGCCTTTGCCATTTGTTGCAGGTGTGTCCATTCAGTTTGCGAGTGGTCAGTGTTGTGGGAATAACATACTTGCTGCCCCAGGAGGAGCAGCCCCTGTGCCACCCAACAGTAGAAAGGTAAAAAAAAAAAAAAAAAAAAAATCACCTTCTAGACTTTCATATATGTTTGTGTGTAATTTCTAGTGATGTCTGATGTAATTTTCACATAAGTGTGGTAGGTCCTCCAGGCTCACTTAGAAAGTAAACACTTACTTTGCTTTTGATTCATATTTGAGTAGGATATGTTTTATGATCTTTTTTTGGAATCAGGAAAGCCTAGAGTACTGATGTTAGGAAAGTAAATTGATTGGTCTCAGGACCACAGATGTATTGCACTTTCATATTCACCAAGATAAAAGTTTTCCAGAGTAGAATTCTAATCATAACACTTTCCTCCTTGAAATCCTTAAATGGTAACCCGTGGCCTCAAAGGTAAAGCCCAGTTTCCACAGTATGTGAAGTTCTCCACAGTTTGAGCCCTGACTCCTTCCCTTCTGTCAGGCCTCTTTCTTCTCCCCACTGTATTAAACATTCAGCAGCATCAAAGTACTGAGGGTTGTTTGAACGCACAGTATGGTTTTATGTGTGCCTTTGTACGTGTAGTTTCCTCTGTTGATGATTCATTCCTTTTGAGCCTCTCTTCACACTGTCCCTCCTCCCCCCCCTTAGAATTATCTTCTCCCCTCTGCTATCTCTGTGCTTTTACGTACTTCTGTTATTAATAAAGTAATAGAGATATGTGTATATAGACACACGACACATATATGGATACATGTAAATATAAAAACACATTATTGTTTTTGTTATAATGACTTTTCCAACAAATATCGTAGTGCCTTGCCTTTCAGGATTCCAAAAAAGTATACAACATGGTTCTGTTTGAAAGCAACTCACTGTTTGGTTTGAGAGATTAGAGTTAATAGATTAGATAATGATCCAAAACATTGCAAAACTTAAAAACTATTTGATGGGTAGTACTGACTGTTAATGCTGAGTATCTCAGGAGATGGCGAAGGAGCCAAGGAGCTCAGGAGAAATAAGTGAGGTGAAACTTGAGGGGTGCCTTGTAGGAAGGCACAGTTTACATTGGTGTGGGCATGGTCCAGGGACCAAGCATGGCCTATGGGGGCAGGGGGAGAGATGCAGGAGCAGAGTTTGTTCCCAGAGAGACTATCGTCCCGTCCAGTCTCTATTGATTTGATGAGATATTGGACAAAAATTGGAAAGATCATAACATCTAAGAGTTATTGTGGATAACCTTATAGTGTGGTATTAAATTTATTCCAATATCTTTATTTCCATATTGAATATTTTAATTTAAGGATTTTTCAGTCCATTTGTAATCAAGTTATTAAATAAGAGTTTATAATGGTCAGAAACCTTTTCTGATGGGGAACGATGATGAAGATTTTCAGCAATCACACTATGATTTTAGATTTCAGATAGGATGTATATTTAATTAAAATCATTTATTTAGAAAGTAATACGTGACTTCCTTCCCCATCCTATAGGGCACTAAAATCTTGTGGACCAGGTGGCACTGCTCATGTGAAATTAGTGGTAGAATGGGACAAGGAGACAAAAGATTTGTAAGTATTTTTTTTTACTTAGTGTTTGTAGAGTCCTTGTCTTAATTATCACTATAATAGCATACCTTTGATCTTTCAAATTAGCTGAAACACAGACCTCTGTTTTCTTTAGCTAAGTATCCAAGTGTGTTGCTGATCCTTTATTTAAGTAATTTATTATTTCTCTCCTACACTTTCTGTCGTCTGGATCCCAAAACCTTAGAACATTTGTTTGCATTAACTCTAGCAAGTTATGCCAAATGCATGCCCTTTGATACAGAGGACAAGAATATATGATTAATCAGTACAGTTTCTGCCCAATCCCAGAAAAAACAATTCCAAGTTATTTCTTGAAAATAACGTTATAGATAGAGAACGTCTCACGACATTTTGGAACATAGAAAAGTTGGATTGCCACTTTTACTTTCTTATATATTGACCTTCTTGGTTATGAATTTACAGCCACGTTGTGAAGCTGTTAATTGTATCTTGTATCAGTTTTCCAAGACATTCTCTAATACATGCTTTTTCTCCCCTGATTGCAGCTTGTTTGTAAATACCGAAGATGAGTATATCCCTGATGCAGAAAGTGTCCGGCTGCAACGGGAGCGTCACCATCAGCCTCAAACTTGCACTTTATCCCAGTGTTTCCAACTCTACACCAAAGAGGAGCGGGTAAGTGTTGGGCAGCATTTGTTGGGTGGTGAGGGTAGTAGGGAGGGCTCAGGGCAAGATGACAGTGGAGAAACAAATTATGCACCAGAAAACTCCCCAAGGATTTTTGCATTTTACATAGGTTCTGCACATGTGATATGCATCTTAGTGTTATTCCTCTTAGGATTTTAACAAAAAGTAGTTCAAATTTCTGGAAAACCTTGATTAAGTGAAATGCTCTAGATGTGAACCTTTGTATAGTTCCTTTTTTTTTTTTTACTTTTTAATGGTTAATGATAAAGTTATATTTTTGTTTCAATTTAGAGAGTTTAAATTATTTTCCTTAGTAACTAGATCAGTGGTTCTCAACTTTTTGGAACTAAGAACATAGGTGCCATTTTAATTAAAATTAATTAAAATTAAAAATTCAGTTCCTTAGTTGCATTAGCCACATTTCAAGGGCTCAGGAGACACATGTGGCTAGTGACTCGTATTGGACAGTGTAGATATAAAGTTCTGTTGGACAATGCTTTAGACCACTTAGCATCGTGTTTGCAGATTGTAGGTACTCAGTAAATATTTGAATGAATGGATGGACAAATAGTGGATAGGACCCTTGCCTATGTGTTTTTTTTTCAACAGGAATATTTAATAACAAGGTAGATAACATGTTTATCTAACATATATTTTTATATAACTGAAGCTAAAGCAAAACATCCTGTTATTGGATAAGTATGGCCTGCTGTATGTGTGTACACTGCAGTGCACTTAAAAAAATACTGTAATTATAATTTCAGAACTTCAGAATTTGAATAGGTGCCAGTATTCTGTCCTTTTTTCATATGGGGAAAGAAAATTCCTTTGAAAATCATTTGAAGCTTGGAGCACAATTCTATAGCTATATTCTTAATATCACTCTGGAGAGCCTTCATGATTCAGATGATACAGGGGAAGCTTCAGTTCAGCCTTCCTTTCAGAGAAGACATTTCCAGCTTTCATGGTCTCGTCAGCCAGGAGAATATTGGTGGCAATTACAGTGCAGGAGTGAAGGAGCTGTTTCTTTACATAGTAGTGTTCCCATATGCGTCCCATTGGCTCACCTGGGTTCAGGTCCACACCCGCAAGCTGACCTGAATGTTCTGCTTGAACTCAAACTAGTGTTTCCTGAAGGTCCAAACCAGAGTTCTGAGCAAGAGCCTTGTGAATAGTGAGCACTGCATTAGCAAATACTTGAACTCCCAAGTTGGGCCCTGCCCTTTACACTGACCAGGCTTTTATTTAATCAGGGCTTCTGCCATTGCCACTTGCACTGCACCAGTACCTGGAATGACACAGCCATCATCAATAACATTTTTAACAGCTGTCAAGCCACCTTTGATTGCATCTTTGATTTGCATGAGTGTACTTATTTGGTCCTTTGACCAGTAATGTGATGGATGTTACGTTTCTCAATAAAGTCAAACTTCTCTTCTCCCAGTGTGTAGTCATAGACAAGTCCTGCATTTCCCAAACAATCAGGGTTTAGGTCATCAATAGAATTTAGAGCTACCCCACCACGAGCAAGCGTCAGCCTTTCCACATTCCTCTTAGGTCTGTGCAGAGCTACTATGCCTTCTTTTGCAAGAGCATCTAAGGCAAAGGGGTCAATTCCCTTTTGATTAATAACAACAAATCCTTTATCTGAATCACCACCACACTTTCTTTCAAAGTTCTATTATTTTTTTAACTCCATCTTCAGCGAATTTTCTTTCAGTCTTTACTAATTTCTCTCTTCTGCACGCTTATTAAAAAAAAAGCCGGAATTCACTTCTGTTTTTTCATATTCTAATGGCACGTTTCACATGAAGATGTATGCATCTTCTACTTTTTTTTTTTCATATCAGGATGCCATGTCCCATGATCCAAAACAAGACCTCTGATTAAGCTTGTATAGGTTTCAGATTTATGTTTCATCCCTGTGATCTCAACCATGAAGGGGTCACTACGTTCATCTTGCTTTTTAATGGCCAAAATGGAGTCCACTACAGCGTCTGTTAAAACATCAGCAAGTTTAGCATGAATTTTAGTATGTAGAGATGTTCTGGCCATGTCTGTAAGTGTTCCACTGTTCATCTCTTTGCATATTTTGACTAGTTGCCAAAACTGAAGTGCCTTTTTCTTTGCAGCTTCAAATCCTTCTGTTATTATTTTGAGATGAAGATCCTATAACAAACACATAGTTACAAAACCACCGCTAATACTAGAGATCTTCAGTTAGATGCAACTGTAGTTCGTGATAAAGCAGACTTATGGAAGGATATTCTGGATCATTCATACCCTTTAATACAACTAATATGATGTGCTGACTTTCTGAATATTTTACAAAGGATAAATAAGCTTTCAGTGTAGAGGAAAAGAACAGACATTGCTCTAGCACAGAGTTGAAACCAAGGAACTAAGGCACTCTTGGTGTTCACTGTGCAGCCGGCCTTTGTGGTTTTTAAACCTCTCCAGGTTCAGGCGCCTTGAGAAACCTTGACGAGAGCTCTTGGAGTTCATCTAATTTTGAGTTGATGTTTAGGATCATAATTCTGGCTACTGATTCTTACTGCTCACTCTTGCATATAGGGAATCATGCAATTTCAGGGTCAGAGGGGGCTTTAAAATTTCTTTTTTCTAATGGTTGAGTTCTACCTAATTTCAAATAGGTGATTATCCAGCCGCTGTTTTTCAGAGACACCATTTTCTCTTTGGGTATCTCTGATGGTGACTGACGTTAACCTGAAATATGTCCCTGGTTGCTACAGCCAGCAGGTGAACTCTCAGGTCGTTAAGAACAGAGGACGGGTCTTCATTTTCTTCTACTTGTTTGTCCTTCAAATATTTGAAAATAGTTTTCATCTTCTAAGTCTTTTCTCCCCCAAGCAGTTAACAGCTAATTCATTTAATAGTTTTTCATTAGACGTATTTTTCCAATCTTGGGCTTATATAAATAATTGGCTTTGAAACTGGTTGATCACATGCTGTGTAGCGCCTTATCCTATTTAGCTTTTTGTTTTTTTTTTTAAATTGGTTTGGGAGATGTCTGAGAATGTCACAAAGCTTAAAGGTGAGCAGATCTACTAGATGACAACATTGGTATTCTACAAAACATCTCACTGATCTTTCAAGCTAGCCAGATACATTTTAATAGGGCTTTGTTCATTCAATACATGTCTGTTGAGTACATACTATGTGCCAGGTACTGTGCTAGGAACTGGGAATATAGCAGGGACCAAGACAGACAACAGTTTTGCCCTCAGCTTGTTTACAGTGTAGTGGGGATAAACAAATAAGTAAAGGAAGCAAAGGTCTTGGGGTCAGAGGAAGGTTGAGAAAAGAAATGAGGCCACTGTGGCTGGGGCACAGCAGGTGAGAGAATCCATCCTGGTCGTAAAGTAACCCCAGCATGTCTAGCAGTGTCCGGCCCATGGAAGGCATTCAGTAAATCTATGCCGCAGTGAACGAATGAGTGAGTGTTCCTTGGGGAGCTCAGTCACTGGGTCCAAAAATAACAGTCCAGATATGGAAGAGGAGGAGGTCAGACTTAGCAGTAGGCTGTGTGACGCTAATTTTGGGGTCGCATTGTCTGCAAGCTCAGTATGATCAGCAGTGTCATGTGGGTGTCAGCCGCTGTTGGCTACCTAAGGATGCTTTAGAAACAGTGTCCAGAACTCAGATGGTGATAGCACTGCTCTTCTCATTACCTTAAATGTTCACTGTTAAGAGACTGACATCCCGGGGCATAAGCAGAGAGTGTGGATAGGGGATGGTGCGGCTGAGTATATCTTGATGAAGGAGACCTTAAGTGAGGATCTGATAGTTATTTTCACATACTTCGAGGGCCATCCTGTGGATAAGGGATTGGATTTAATTTTATCTAAAAAGCAGAATTAGAGATTGGAAATTACAGGGAGAGTGATTTTGTCTTAATAAGAGGAAGAACTTTGTGACAGACTGCCTGAAAGTGGAACAGCTGCCTCTGGGGCTAGTCGTCTTCCTTGCTGGGCAGTTAGCGAGGCTGGCCACGCTCCAAGGGTGCTCTGCAGGCCTAGCAGCTCTTTGTGGCAGTTTACAACGAGATAAGTACAGAAGTCGAGCAGTGTTGTAGAAACTGTCAAAGCTGCCAGACATTGTCTTGACATTCTTACTGTATCTTATCAAAGAGTATCTGTTTATGATGTATTGGAAATTAAAAAACAAATGAACAACCTGTTCCTTTACCGCGAGCACTGGGCTGATGGCCACGTCTGTAGACAGTTAGCATGTTAGCACAGATGTGGACGTGCCAGATGACAGTTAGGTTCCTCCTGCCTAACTTTCTTTCTTTTTTTTTAACATCTTTCTTGGAGTATAATTCCTTTACAATGGTGTGTTAGTTTCTGCTTTATAACAAAGTAAATCAGCTGTACATATAGATGTATCCCCATATCTCTTCCCTCTTGCGTCTCCCTCCCCACCTCTCTAGGTGGTCACAAAGCACTGAGCTGATCTCCCTGTGCTATGCCTGCCTAACTTTCTGATTCACTGCTATCCACCCAGACTTCTGTCTCTCCCCATCTTTCCTACACACATGACAGGATCTCCCTCTCAGGAAAAATAACTCCCTCACTTCTGCTTCCCTTTCAAACTACTGTGCCGGTCTTTCTCTTCTTTTCTGTGTAACTACCATTTAGTGATTTCAGGTCTTTCCCTTTCCTCCCTTCCAAACCTCTTGTCATCTGCCTGACTTGCGTTTCTGACATTGCTCTCCGAAGTTCTCGGGGCCCATAGTTTGCTCAGTTCAGTGGCCACTGCTCAGTCTGCATTGGACCTCTCCGTGGGATATGGTACTGATAACCACCCTGTTCTTGCCACTCTCTTTTCTTGGTGTGCGTAAAAGGAATGCTTCTGATTTGCCTATTTTTCTGACTATGCAGCCTCAGGTTCTGGTGGTTTCTCGACCTTTGTGTTTCCCTTAAAAATCGGCCTTCTGCAAGATTCTGTCCTTGGCTTCTTTCTCTTCCATCTGAGTGGGCATTGCCATCTGTTCCCGTGGCTTCCCTTACCTCATTGTGTTGATGGTCCCAGATCTGATGCATCTTCTGAAATCCAGAGGAGATTTTTAAAATCTCTCTTACCAGACATGCTCTGTTAGTACCTTTGTGTTGTCATCCTGAAACCCTTGCCTGCAGAGGTGACATATGTGGATTCAAGGTCTCAGATTGATGTTGAGAAAGATCTTGTTGGTAGCAGGATGGGGAGGATTGTTTGGAGCAGTTTGATGCTTGGGGGAGAGAGGACAATTAAGAGACTCGAGGAAGTCCAGGTAGGAGTGAGTGAGGACTTTGAATTAAGGTGGATGGAGAGGAGGAGATGGGTGTGAGGAATGGCAGAGAGTGTTACCTCGGATGGACGTGGAGCAGAGGAAGAGGGAAGGGTTTGAGGCTTTGGGTTAACCCCTTGTGTTCTGCTCTTGACGGGTGGCTGTGGTATTTGCTGGGGTAGGACGTACAGGAGGAGGAGAAAAGGGAACTGTATTGATAGAAAGGCGACGAGTTGAGTTTGGGAGTATGCTGAGCATGAGGTGCTTCTGTGGCATCTAACATCTCTGTGCAGTATCTACCTAGTTGGTCATTCCTTTTTGAGAGGTAATCTGTTCAGCAATGTTTGGGTGCCAGCTCTGGCCAGGCGCCACTTTTAATTGTGTTTTTCTGTTGACTCCCATCGGACATAGTTTGGGGAGATTCAGAGTTGTGCTGTGCCCTGGCCAGGAAGTGAGTCTGGCTGTCTCCTGTAACAAAGTCTTGCCTTAAGTGGCTCTTAACAGAAGTCGTGCTCCTTGTTTTCAGCTTGCCCCAGATGACGCCTGGCGTTGCCCGCACTGTAAGCAGCTGCAGCAGGGGAGCATTACGTTAAGCCTCTGGACTCTGCCTGATGTGCTTATTATACATCTAAAGAGATTTCGACAGGTAAGGAAACCCTCTGTCATAGGGAAAAAAGCTGTGACCAACTTTCTTATGCCCCTTACTGGTGGGCTCTTGGGTGGGGAGTTCTTTGGTGTCCCTGTTTGATCCTGTGATGTTACAGACACACATCTGCCCCTATGGTTGGAGCCATGTGTTTTGTTCTTTCCCAGAGCAGTTTGTGCATCCTGTGACCCTTTAAATCCTAACCATTTTATTTCATACTGCAGATATTTTACTTTGTTCCTGAGGATTTGCTTTAGATTTGTAAATGTTGTGCTCAAGTAAGTGTACTTTGGGATTAAAAAAAAAAGTTGAGCGCCTTTCTTGGGGGTGGGTAGAATTATATTTCTGCCTAAAGTAATAACGGGTGTTGTCCTGCTTCCAAGGAGCAGTTGTACAGTTGTGGAGATGAGTCATAAATATATACAAAGAAAATCTGCTTTGAGTTGTGTTGCTTTGTGAGTCAATTTCCGCACAGAGGCTCTCTATTCCTAAGATTAGAGTTGCCCTGGGCAGCCCCCTTGTAAGAGAGGTAAATGAGAGGTAAACGCTGGAGGAGTCTGAGCCTGGCGTAAGAAAGTTTGCATCTGAAAGATTAGGAGGAGGCCTGTACCAGGTGAGCTGGGAGCGGGGCTGCACATGTATAGTGGCTGAGGGAGCAGCGGGTGCAGAGCATGTGCAGGAGGCGGAAAGTTGAGGCCAGTGTGGTTGCAGCTCCGGGGGGTCGGGGGGAGAAAGGCGTGCGTTGAGGCAGAAGAGCAGGCAGGGGCTGGTCGTCCAAGCAGTCCTTGTAGGCAGAGTGGGAATCTGAAGCAGAGAAGCGACATGACCAAATTTGTGCTTGGAAGAGACCATTCAGGCTGATGTGTGGAGAATTAGAGGCTACAAGGATGAAGACAGGGAGACCTGAAGGAAGCCTTTGCAGTCACCGGGGGGGCGGGGGCCGGCCGATGGCTCGCAGTGGAGTTGCGGCAGTGGAGATGGAGAGACCTGGATAGACTTGAGAGATGTCTAGGGCTGGCTGATGAAGTGAATGTGTCGGGGGCGTGCACATGGTCCCCAGGGTGGCCTTTCACATACAGGTTTGGGGTCCAGCTCCTGTAGTGAGGAGTGGGCACTTAACCTGAGTGTCCCAGCTGTACGCTTCCATTGGGATCTTTCAGGGGGACGGCCAGTTGAGGGTTTGAACCCAGCTTCTCTGTCTCCTTCCATACACACAGACTGGCTTCCTTTGCTTTCTGTTTCTTTTGAAGACATATCATCACCCTTCCAGCGCCCCAACTCAAAACTGCAGTGTCATCTTTGACTCTTCTTTCCCTGTCACCTAGGCAGTCACCTCTTCGGCCTGGTTGTGCCTCTCCACTGCCTCCTGTACGTGTCCCCTTCTCCCCATTCTTGCTGTCATCCTGCCAGTTCCAACTTCTGATACTTCTGAGCTGGTTGCAGTTGCAGTGTCTTTTCATTGGTTTTGTAACCTACACTGCTCTTCCCTTTCTGCCATGTTTTGGGCACTACTTAATGACAGCTCTGATGGCATCACCTCCTCCCTCAAAGCCTCAGTGCTTCTCCCTTGACTGCAGAACAAGGTCCAGGTTCTTTAGCCTGACCTTCCTGACCATGCAAGACCCATCCTACCTTTCTCTTAGGAACATTTTTCTTCCCTTAGTAGGTCCATAGTTCCTTGGGACGGGCATTATCTGTGCTTGATTAATTTTTTAAAGCTCCCATAGACACAGGAAACTTTCGGTAAATACCTGCTCAACTGATGGTTGGATTTCCCAGTGGGCTTAATGGGAAATACAGATTGCCCAAGATTGTCAAGTAAATGACTATATTGTTAAGTCACTGTTAACTGTTAATTTGTCAGAGGAGTTGGGAAGGAAAGAGGCCCTGTTCCGTGAATGGCTGTTCTGTGCCAGCACTGTGCTTTCCCTTCACATATGTTGTTATTCCATTACTTTTCGTGCCTCTTTCGTGACAGAGGTTTCAGGATGAACCCTTTATCAGGTAAGGCAATGAAGGCTCATTATCCCTTATATGTAGAGCATCGCTGGTTCCATTTTTGGTGATATTAAAACGTGTTCCTCCAGTTAGATAAAACTGTTAATCTGTCTCCCTGTGTGTGTGTGCCTTTGGAAACATCAGATAGGTAACTCAACCCTACTTCAGTTGATAGGGTCTGCCTTTCACGCTAAACTGATCTACCATCTGCTTGCGTGAAAGTATCATCAGAACTTGTTTTTCTTCTTGCCACAGGAAGGAGACAAGCGTATGAAACTTCAGAACATGGTGAAGTTCCCTCTGACCGGCCTGGACATGACACCTCACGTGGTTAAGAGAAGCCAGAGCAGCTGGAGTTTGCCATCCCATTGGTCTCCATGGAGACGGCCCTACGGACTCGGGCGGGACCCTGAGGACTACATCTATGACCTGTATGCTGTGTGCAATCATCACGGCACCATGCAAGGGGGGCACTACACAGGTCTGCAGCGCGAGAGGCCGGGCGCCTGTGCTGACGATTCCTCCCGACATGTTTTGCTTGTGACAGGGGTGCTTTGCTTTAGAACCTCGCTTTCTCTTCCAGCAGGCAGTGTGCCAACCTTGAGGGCAGTTTTCATCCTCTGGTTCTCTGCCCTGAGTTAGATCGTCTGGTCGGGCTCTGACCCAAGCAGGGAATGGTGTGTGCAGATGGGTGGCATCGTCTGGCTCACCCAGGACTTGCTTTCTTGACCTCACCTGCATGCCCCGTTTAAGGTTTTGCTCTGCTTCCTTGAGGACCTAGCATCTCCCTTATTTGGAGTGGCTGTGAACCACTTTTATAGTGTCTTTAGAGTGACTTGGAAGGGGTTTTCTTTTTGCTGTATGGTTAAATTTACTTTTTCATTTGTCAAAGCAATAGTGCTCATCATATGAAATTTAGAGACTAGAGAGAGACAGACGGAACAGTGCCATCAACCCACGAGATTATCACTCAGAAATAACCCATGAGATTAGTGCTCAAAAAATGGCAACAGGGGCTTCCCTGGTGGCGCAGTGGTTGAGAGTCCGCCTGCCGATGCAGGGGACACGGGTTCCTGCCCTGGTCCGGGAAGATCCCACATGCCGCGGAGCGGCTGGGCCCGTGAGCCATGGCCGCTGAGCCTGCGCGTCCAGAGCTTGTGCTCCGCAATGGGAGAGGCCACATCAGTGAGAGGCCCGCGTACCGCAAAAAAAAACCCAAAAACAAACAAACGAACAAAAATGGTATCATTTTTAGAAACTGATAAAATATACACAACAAAATTTACCGTTTTAACCATTTTTAAGCATACGGGTTCAGTGTCATTAAGTACATTCGTATCTTTGTGCAACCATCACCACTGTCCATCTCCAGAGTTTCTTTCATCTTCCCAAATTGAAACTCTGCATCCATTAAACAGTAACTTCCTGTTTACTCCTCCCTCATCCCCTGGCAGCCACCACTTTTTCCATGAATCTGACTGCTCTAGGTACCACATGTAAGTGGAATCATACAGTATTTGTCCTTTTGTGTCTGGCTTATTTCACTTAGCATAATGCATTCAAGATTCACCCACTTTGTATCATCTGTCAGAATTTCCTTTCTTTTTAAGGCTGAATAATATCCCATTGTATGTAGGTAACATTTTGATATGTGGTGTTTCCTTCCAGTGTTTTTCTGTAAGTTTTGGCCATTATTTTATACTGCTGTGATTGGCCTGATTGGCCTTTTTTTAAAATGTCCAATGCTCTGTTCAGGTGAACCTTTATGGAACACCTCCTCTACGTCTTGCTTGCACGGGGCTGTGTCACATCAGAGACACACTGGAAATGAAAAGATCTCGACCTCTGTCTTCCAAGAGTGTAATCAAGTGGTTGAGGCGGCGTAGGTACACTTAAAATGAAAGAGCAGGATGTGTATTAGGTTCTGTGGTTGAAGTGTGAACAGAGCAGGGGCTGGAGGAGAGAGTGGTCAGAGTAGCCTCCTCCTGGAGGGTCAGGAGAAGCTATTGGGATTAGTAACCTGCTGCCTACACGTGAGGCCCTTATGGGCTAATGGGGCAGATGTTTAATTTTTTTTTTAATAAATTTATTTATTTATTTGTTTGTTTTTATTTATTTTATTTTTGGCTGCGTTGGGTCTTTGTTGCTGCGTGGGCTTTCTCTAGTTGTGGCGAGCAGGGGCTACTCTTCGTTGCAGTGCACGAGCTTCTCATTGCGGTGGCTTGTCTTGTTGCAGAGCACGGGCTCTTAGGCACACGGGCTTCAGTAGTGTGGCATGTGGGCTCAGTAGTTGTGGCTCATGGGCTCTAGCGCGCAGGCTCAGTAGTTGTGGCGAACGGGCTTAGCTGCTCTGCGGCATGTGGGATCTTCCCGGACCAGGGCTTGAACCTGTGTCCCCCGCATTGGCAGGCGGATTCTTAACCACTGTGCCACCAGGGAAGTCCCAACAGACGCTTAATTTTTGTAAATATTATTTTTAACGACCACAGAATATTCAGTTGATGGAACTCTAATGTGATATAACCATTCCCCATTGTTGAACACATATAGTGTTTCTGGTTTTTAACTTTGAAGATAACTGATGGACATCTTTGTGTGTAGTCACCTTTTCTGTACTTTAATTCTGTATTTCCTTGAGATTGAGTCTCAGAAATGGAATTATTGGGTTAAGGGCATTCATGCATGCTGGGGAGGCAGGTAGATTTGGGGGCTTCTTGCTTGAACATCTGTATGTCGGGGGACTTGATGTGAGGGTCCTGGCCAGGACTCAGATTTCTGTGTTCTTCTCAGCCTATTTGGCATGAACACTTCTCTGGGACTTTTTGTTTCTGCAGTTCAGTGGTTTCTGCAGCAAGACCCCAGGGTGCTAGTGATTCATAAAGGTAGGGGGAGGTAGAGGAGGGTAGGCTCTGCCAGTCGGTGTTTCAGTCTCTCTGAGACTGTTCCCCGGCAGTTAACCCTGAGACCCCTGCAACACGGTGAAGGAGCCTCTCGGGCCCCAGAACCCCTCCTTGGCCCAGCACAGTTACTCTCTCAACCTGCTCTTCCTCAGGAGACAGGGGACGTGGAGTGTGACTGGACACAACAATCTTTTGTTCTCGAAACCCATTTAGTTCTAGTTCTTTCAGTACGCTGCCCGCAGCAGTCACTTGTGAGAGGAATGATCCCGACCTAGAGTGTATCTCGTAGTGGAGCCGTTTGGATGGCCTCTACTTGCCCTCGGAAGTACTTGAAGGAGAAAGAGGGGACAGAGGATCTATTGAAAAGTCCGTAGAAGAGAAAGTTAATATTAATTAAATGCTGAAGTATGTTTTACCTTGCGTTTTGGTTTAAGCCAAATTTTAATACTGTATTTTGTGTCTTACATATGTTATATTTATATTTTGGGGGGGCACTTGTATAATAAGTGTTGTGTGTCTAGTTGGATTTTTGCTTTTGTGGCATTCCCGGTCATATCTGCATTCTTTGGTACTGAGTCACAGAGTTATATACTCAGGGACTCTGAGAATTGAAAGGGACTTAGAGGGAATTTAATTTCACTAATTAGCTGGTGAGGTCGTGCCTTTGCCAGCATCACTGACTGGTGTTCACGTAGCTTCAGCTTTGGTGAAGAATCTCCTGTGTGTACGTGTTTCTCAGGAGAACGTGGGTGAGCACGTTGTGTGGTTCTAGCAAGAAATTGTTGAGGAAAATCGGACAGTGCCAGATTTTCGCCTGTCGTGTTGCTCTTTGTATAGATAGCATAGACTCTGGAAAGTGCCCGGAAACCCATAACTGCCTTGGAGGCAGTACAGATTAGTGAGAGGAGTATGGGTTAGAAGCTAGACACGTATTCCTAGCTCTGTGACCTTAGGTGGGTAACCTTATTCAAACCTGGCGACCATGTGAGGGAGGCAGAAGTGCTCGTGCCTGCCTCCTGGGGCCTGTTACTGACGAGGGGCTCGGATATTTTCTGCGTTGTTATCCCTTTCCCGTGCTTAGGCCATACGGCTGCTTTTCTGATGAGAACATTTTAAGTACCTCAGCATTGTTGAGTTAAAGATATCTTGTTTTTAAGCTTTCATTTGGAGTTAATGTGTTCTTTTATTTTGCACTGGTTCTAACTATAATTACATGGTACATGGATGGCTGACTTGTGTAAGGAGTCTAGACCAGTGCTTCTCAAACCATCTGTGATGAGGAACCTTTTAAAAAATTTCTTAAACCTTTTTAAAAAATGTCCAATCCTTCATGAACCATGAACCAGTACTTTTGCAAAAACACAATAAAAGTATCATACATTATCAGATTGCTATGAATGTTTTTAAATGCTGACCTCGTTTTGGTGCTTATCTCATGGACTGGCACCGGTCTGTGAGCCACAGTTTGAGTAGCACTGGTCTAGGAAGTGCTTCAGAAAATAGCGCTGGGAAGAAAAGCACATAGAATTATTTTATAAATACACCATTGACCCATTCACGAGTCCCTGTGCTGCCTTAGTTTCCACACCGTGACGGAGGACAGACCATCCTGAGGAGAAACGGACTGAAGCTGGTACAGCCTGCTCCGTCACCTCCTCCCAGGCGTGTTCCCCCTTACAGACCTCCCACTCCCGAATAGCAGCCCCTCACCAGCTGGGTCGTTCATCCAGCAAGCCTGATGACACCACTGACCAAGCAGTCGCTGTTTTACCAGCTCCATTTGCTGCTTGTGTCTCCCTTTCTCTGCCGTCTGGTTCCAGTGAGTCCGCAGCTGCAGACGACTTTCCTCCCTACAGTCAGAGGTTCTTCTGCTCTTCTTTTTCGGGACCTGTGTGGTATAGCCCTTCCTCTTCCGGGTCCCTTTCGTCTCCTAGGAGTCCATACTTAGCAAAGTGGTTGTGGCCTATTGAGGGAGTCACTCCTGGTGCCACTCGGGACCTTATGTGTCCTGCCCCCGGGGCCCTACTGAGCCTGTTCCAGCGTTCAGCTAAATATTCTAGCACTCGTTTATTTTCACCCCAATAAATGGGTCTTTTTAGAAAGTGTTGTAAGAGTGTACCTTTCTGGATCAAGCTTATCACACTCCTTGATAGTTTCACAGGATGATGTGGCTCCATGAACACTAAGCTGTGTCCTTGTTGGTACTTGAGTGCTCTTTATTTTTATCTCAGCTTAGAGTTTGGACTGGAGGGAAGGCCGCATGCATTCATGAGCTACAGCGTTCTCAGTTTGCCAGGGGCCTTCCATCAGGCATCGTTTGTGCTACCTCTGAGGGAGGCAGGGTGGGATAAGGCTTTAAGCTCAGGGACTAGATAATCCTGTAATGAGCTGGCCCCTGCCCTTCACCAGCTGCATGACCTTGGGCAAGCTGGTTAATCTTTTTGAGCCTCTGTAAAATGGCACTGATAATAGAACAAATTTCATAGGATCAAATGAGATGCACGTAATAAGTGCTAAACAGATGTTAGCTACTGCTCTCATTAATATCATCATTTCTAGTTCTATTGTTTTCTGACTCTAAGAAACACTAAACTGTTACAGCATGCTTGAAACAGGGTTTCTCCATACTGGTACAGTAACATTTTTGCTGGGTAATTCTGTATTGTGGGGACTGTCCCGCACGTGGTGGGATGTGTAGTGGTGCCCCTGGTCTCTACCCACTAGATTGCACTAGCATCCTACCCTCCCCACGCCCCCACCCCCAGTTGTGACAGTCAAAAATGTGTCCCCTGGGGCAAAATCATCTCTGGTTGAAATCCACTGGTTTAAAGAAGTATATTGTGTTTTCTAAAATTAAATAGAATTTCATCCATTTGGAATAGTTTGGAATTTCTTGAAACATTTTGCCTGAGTGTGATTTGGATTTCTTACCTCTTTCTGTATTACTATCTGCAGCCTTAAAAAGTTCTTGAATTAATTATATGAGCCAAAGACATGGTGTCTGTGGGTCAAGTGGAGTGGCCATTGCGGCCGCCCTGGTGCTGATCGCTGGTGGGCTCTTTTTGGCAGCATACTGCAAGAACTCCGTGGACGGCCTCTGGTACTGCTTCGACGACAGTGACGTGCAGCAGCTGTCGGAAGACGAGGTCTGCACGCAGACAGCGTACATCCTCTTCTACCAGAGGCGGACAGCTATACCGTCATGGTCGGCCAACAGCTCAGTGGCAGGTAAGACCACTCTACTCTTGGGTGGTTTGTTTTGAGAACAGAAGATTGTAGTTGATGGTCCAGAGAACTTCTCCAGGAGGTCTCATGATTCTGTTGGTTGGATCAGATTAATTCTCAGGTTTGCATTTAATCTGCAAACCAGAATGGTTGCAGTTAAAGGAAATGGGGGTGGAATGTGCCAGCAGCTGTGAACAAGGAGTTCCCATGGAGGTGGAGTGGAGCCTGGCTCAAAGCACGCTTGTGGTGTTTACTTACAGAGTAAATAAACGAGTGAGGGAGCTAAGAAGCAGAGCAGCACACTGCTCTCAGAGTCGAGGGACTGGAAATAGAGCTGAGACTTGGCTTTGCCACATTTTGGTCGGGTTATCTTCGAGCATGTCCCACCCAAGCCACATATGTGTCATCTGTAATATGGGTGTACTGATCCTACCTGCCTCGTGGGGTCGTTGTGTGAAACGGATTAGGTAAATGTACATTAAAGCCTTTTGTAAAGGGTAAAGCACCATTAGAAATCATTCTTTTTTCCACTAAGATTGGCCTATTCTGTTAGGGGAGGGATTGAAGGCTATAAAAATATTAGATGGCTTGGATTTAGTTTGATGGGGTCTAGCCTGTTGTGCTTTTATTAATAAATGCAGGAACCAGTACCCACACGTGATGTTGATGCAGCCACACACAATCCGAACAGGGGGACGAATGCTTCCTAATGCAGAGTTGGAGTTTAGAGAATAGGACAGAGGATTGGGACATGGCAGAGTGTGATCAGTTATTAATCCCTGCTCCCCTTGAAGCGTGCGAGGGGTAAGTTGGAAGCCGCTAAAGGAAGTGTCACTGAAGCAGAGTGAGCCCTGCTGGAATCAAACCCCACCCAGTACAGCCGTCTGTCCGTAGCTGCTCTTAGTTCCCAGAAAGTGGGAACTCCAGGGCTCTAGTGCCGTCCCTCAGTGCTTTCCAGAGTCTGAGATATGCTCAGAAATGACACCCTCTTGAGATCTACTCTAGATAGTCACGTGTCTTCATGTTCTCCATTTCAAGAGCAGTTTCTGTTGCTCCAATATATATTTAAGGGCCTCCCTGGAACAGACAGGACAGAATGGCACGTGGCCTTGTGTGTGCATGTGTGTGTGTGTTTATATATTAATATTGTGAAAATGATTTAAAAATCCCACCACACAGGCCAAGAAGATAACAGTACACTGCTGCTTGCTTTTTTTTCTCTGTGTCAGAAGTATTCCTGCAAGTGCTTAGAACAGTGCCTGGGGTGTAGCGCTTAATAAATGTTTGTAGAATAGATGAATATATGCACGATTGTATCTATTCCATTCTGTTGCCAGCACTAAGACTCGAACTTTGCGTTCTGAAGTAGCCATCCCTGTACTTGGATTTTATTACTGCAAACGTGTGTGAGCGTCTGTCCTTTTCATCCCAACAGGCGACGTTCGAGCGGGCACAGCGTGGGCCTGGGAGTTAGTGCTGACCTGGCGGTGAGGTCCCCCGCCGCGCTGGCAGCAGCCCTTGATGAGGGCGTGTGTGGCACAGGCAGGATTCTGGCCTGACCTTGGCGCCCACTTCCTTTCCTGCAGGCTCCACAAGTTCCTCCTTGTGTGAACACTGGGTGAGCCGTCTCCCGGGGAGCAAGCAGGCCAGCGTGACCTCTGCAGCTTCCTCCAGACGCACCTCCCTAGCCTCGCTGTCTGAGTCTGTGGAAATGACTGGGGAAAGGAGTGAAGATGATGGTGGGTCTGGGTTTCGGTGACAGATTTCCAAAATGGCAACTCACGGACACAGTACGGGCTCCCTCATGTCGAGGAGCATTTTATATAACAGGGTCATTTGCTCTTCCTCTGTGACCTAGCACTCCTTCCTTCCACTCCGTTGTTTTCCACTTTTAAGGTCTAATGTGGAGGCTGGGGCGTTAACTCTGTACAGTAATGTATGCTTTTTTTTTTCAAAGCGCTGTTTGAAATCTTCAGAGCAGCTGTGAGAGGACTCAGCGAGGTTGTGGTTTTCCGAGGGCCGCCTGGTGTGCGGGCCTGGCGTGGAGGCTCCTGACTCGCTCAGCTTCTCGCCTTCCCACCACGCTCTCTCCCCTGGAGGGATCTGTGGTGTGCCCTTGTGGGTGCAGAAGCATCTAGAACAAAAGCTGTTGCCTTTGCATAAAGGTAGTTTTTAGGAATTTTGAAGATAGTCACAGTATAAAAGCTTTGAAAATCTGATAAAAATTGAGCTCCGGTGTTTTGCCTTCAGCTGCCGCTTGAGTAGTGGCGGAACAGCCCTCGGTTCTCACGGGGACCCCAGGTGGTGTGGGGAGGGTCGGGCAGCCGGAGCCCTGAGATCTGGGAGGAGCAGGGGAGAGTGAGCTCAGCTTCTATAACGAGGACGGTGACTCATCCCCCAGCAAGCCTCATTCTGTGGTCAGCAGTTCCATCACGTCCAGTAGCCGCTCCTAGTGGCGCTCAGGAAGCTGGAAGAGGAAGGCCAGAGGAGAGCTCTGTCGCAGCTCCAGCTCTACCCCTGCTTCTCGCTGTTGCTTCTTTTTTTTGTAGAAAAAGAGTCTTGGGCTGTAACTGTGAAGCTCCTGTCTGTAGCTCCTGACATTTTATGAAAAACTGACCAGTGAACCTTGGCTTGTTAATTATTTAGAGGTTATTTTCAACACAGCCTTTAAACCTAGAATTCACTGTTGTTTTAATAGTAAGCCTATATATGGTTTGGCCCTGGTCTGTTTTTAAACGGTGTAGTTGGTGAAATCGATATCAGCACCATCATCATGCAGTGGTGCTGGGTGGTGCTCACAGAACAGCGCCTATCTCTTAGGATCTCATCCAGACAGTTTTATTAATACCACAGCTACAGCATCAAGTGTGTGGAGAATTTAATTTAGAATATTTTCTGTGGAAGTTTTAAGTCACTTAAAATAGGAGTATAGTGTTCTAATTATGAATATTTTCCTTGGAGGCTTTCCGCTGATTGCTTTCATAGTCAACGATTACAGGCCCGCCTATGTGTGGCATTGAGTTGGGGGGAAGGTGTTGCAGTTCTGGTGTTGGCTCTGCCTCTGTCTGTGTGATCTTGGGCAAGGACTGCACTGCTGTGGGCCCCAGTGTTCTTAATGAGATGAAGACGCTGTAAATGAAATAGCTCACGTTTATTGAGCAGCTGTGCAGTGCCAGGTGCCTTCCTTACTGGGCACAGGACTTCTAAGGTTTTATTTAATTCTCATAGTAGCTCTGTGAGTTACAACAAGGGTCAGCAGACTATAGCCCACAGGCCAAATATGGCCCCTGCCTTTATTTGTGTAAAAAAAAAAAAAGTTTTATTGGAACACAGCCACGCCCATTTGTTTGTGTTGCCTGCGGCTGCTTTCGCACTAGGGTGGCAGAGTTGAGCAGCTGGCCCACAAAGCCTAAAATATTTACTGTCTGGGCCTTTAGAGGAGAAGTCTGCTGACCCCTGATGTCGAGCAAGAAGGTGGTTTGCTGATCCCCAAGTTAGAATGTCCATATTTCATAGGTAAAGGAACTGGGCTCAGAAGAGTTAAAATCACACGACTACTCCTTGACCCCAGACCCCGTGATTTCCTACTGTCTTAGATGGATGTCCTAGTAAGGACATTTGGTAGGTTTAGCTTAACGGCACTCTCTTTGCTGCATTCAGGAGGTTTCTCAACTCGACCGTTCGTGAGAAGCGTCCAGCGCCAGAGCTTGTCATCCAGATCTTCTGTCACCAGCCCCTTGGCCGTCAATGAAAATTGCATCAGACCTTCCTGGTCCCTGTCTGCTAAGCTGCAGATGCGCTCCAGTTCCCCTTCCCGCTTCTCAGGGGACTCTCCGATTCACACCTCCGCCTCCACCTTGGAGAAGATCGGGGAAGCAGTGGACGACAAGGTTTCCATCTCTTGCTTTGGTAGCTTGAGGAACCTGTCCAGCAGTTACCAGGACTCAAGCGATAGTCACAGTCGACGGGAGCACAAGGCTGTGGGTCGGGCCCCTCTGGCTGTCATGGAAGGTGTGTTCAAAGACGAGTCAGACACCCGCAAGTTGAACTCCAGTGTTGTAGACACACAGAGCAAAAGCTCAGTACAGGGGGATCCCTTGCCCCCCGTATCGGGTCCATTTGATACCAATAACCAGATTGCTTATGTGGATCAGAGCGATTCTGTAGACAGCTCTCCAGTCAAAGAGGTGAAACCTCCAGGCCACCCAGGCCCCCTCGCAAAGAAATCGGAGAGCACAGCCAGGGGATCTCCCAGCTCCAGGGGCGCTCCCGAGCCAGACAGCAGCTTGCGGAAGGGGAGGCCAGTCTTGGCCAGCCAGGGCTCGTCTCCTTCCAGTACGTCCCCTTCTTCTCCTGTTCCTGTAAAGCCCTCCCGCTCCCGAAGCAAAGCTGATTCTTCTTCCAGGGCCAGTGGACGGCATTCCTCCCCCGCTCCCCAAAAGGAGTCCCCCCCCAAACCCCAGGGCTCCGTGTCATCTCCTTCGCTCCAGAGGCAGAAGTCAGCTGCTTCCCTCGCTGACAGTGCTTCCTCCACATCTGCCAGAAGAGCCTCAGGCCCTGCCCCGAGGGGCCCCTTCCCTCCTGGGAAGAGCAGGACTTCAGACAGGAGCTTAAGCAGAGAGGGCTCCAGACAAAGCCTGGTTTCTGACAGGGCCAGCGTCACCTCCAGCCCCAAGCCCAGCTCCGCTCGCGTGAGCCAGGCCAGAGCCGGGGACGGCAGGGGCGACGGAAGGCACGTCCGCAGCTCCTCCACGGCCAGCCTGCGCTCCCCCAGCATGAACATGAAGGCCGGTCCGAAGAGGGACAGCAAGTCGGAGGACAAGGGGCTGTCCTTCTTCAAGTCAGCCCTGAGACAGAAGGAGACCCGGCGCTCGACGGATCTTGGCAAGACAGCCTTGTTGTCCAAGAAGGTGGGCGGGAGCTCAGTCAAGTCCGTCTCTAAGAGCGCAGTGGATGACAAAGCAGAGAAAGGCTCCCAGGCGCTAGGCTCCCAGCAGCCACATGTGAATGCAGTTGGAAAAGAGCAGCTTGCCTCCAAGGACCCTGCTTCTGCTAAACACGCCCTGCTGTCCGCTCGCAAATCCAAGTCTTCCCAGGTAGATTCTGGAGTGCCCTCGTCTCCTGGTTGCAGGCAGTCTGCTGAGAAATCCTCAAAAAAGTTACCTTCTAGCATGCAAACCAGTGCACGGCCTTCTCAAAAACCTCAGTGATATTTCTGCAGTCCGAGTGTTTTATCTGTAAAGATGTTAATTTATTTAGAACCCCTTCCCTCCCACCAAAGCCCTCTATGCTTTTGTTTTGTATTTTTTGGGTCACGTGCCTGATGTACGTGTGTGTGTGTGTGTGTGTGTGTGTGTGTGTGTGTGTATGTGTGTGTGTAGAATTCAATTGCAAATTGTTAAAAGCATCGCCTTATTCTGCCATTGAACCAAATAACAGCCATAGGCAAAGCATTGATACCAAGTTAACTGGAATAATTGCAGACAATACCCTGGACGGTCCCTTTAGCAATTGTACATATTTCTTTCTAGAGAACCCTAATGACTTTCGTTGGACACTAGGGATTTGAAACCTGTGAACCAGTTAAGCTGTCATTAGCGTGCTCTGTAGAAGGATGAATTATTTGACTTGGGTTTCATCTGAGCGGAATTTGTCCTCACTGCGTGCGGATTGTCTTGTGGCACCAGAAGCTCTAAAAACTGTGACACTAACAGTGAAACAAACCGAGGGAAGACTGTCGCTTTCTGCACTTTGGCCCCATCTACCAGTCTCTGTAAAGGGCAATATTTTAACACTAACGTCTCTCAGGTATATACTCAGCTAGTCTAGGATGGGTGCGCACATCAGCGAAAGGATCGAAGAAGAAGGTGGCCTGTGGGTGGCTGTCATTTCTCCTACTGCCACAGATAGAAGTTTTTAGAGGTAGAAATGAAGTCCTTCACCACCTTCATATCTGCAAAGATGTCTGTACCATAAGCTGTCTTGACCCTTGGGATATGTCCTAAGAGGTGGCAAACTGGATAGCTGGAAAGCCAGTCACTAGTAGTTAAATTTTTTTTTCCTTGTAAATTTGCTAGCTAAGGTCATTGGGATTTTGAAATGTAGTAGAGCAGTTAATACCTTTGAAAGGTTCCCGGAAAAAGAAATGGATTCTAAACTGGATGCATAAATCTGCCATTTTCCTTCTCTGGTGTTGCTTTTTTCCACGTTAGAAGTTGAAAGCTCCATGCTGCACCATGTGTGCATGCCTTTGTTTCCTCATCTTGTAATTTGGAGAGGAAAGAAGTTGCCTAATGCCAGCAGTTAGTGATGGTATGTTAGAACGATGTGTGACAAAGTGTTATATGCACACTTCTGGTCTTGCCTGTCAGTCTTAGTTGTGACTGTTTTTCAGGAACTCATTTATTTCTTCTTTGTGCTGAAGATTTAATCTCTTACTCAGAAACTCACAAGCAGGATGGAGCATGTTCCATCTGGCATTGTCAGTGCAAGTTGCATTTCTTGTTTAGAAAAAAAAGGGAACCTCACAGAAATCCAAAGATAAGCAAAATTATATATATATATATATATATATGTATGTATGTATATATGTGTATATATATATATATATATATATATAATTTCAGGCTTTTAGGAGGTATTCTGGAATTTTTTGCTTTCTTTTTCTTTTTCACTTTTTTTTAAATGTCAAGAGAGTCATAGTTCCGATTCTCTTTGAATAGCATTTGTCACTTTGCCATGAGATATAGCATATGCTAAGTTTATATGCTTTTACATATTAACTTTTTTTGTTTTTTAAGTCATGGACTCTTCAGGTTCTTCCTGAACTCTGTGCACAGATCCATTTATAATCTCCTTTTTCAGTATTGCTCTGTGTGAAGTAACTATAACACATATTACATGCATAGCTATGAATTCTGCACTGCCCTGTTTGTTTTTTTCTTTCTTTTCTATGAATACCTCTTGGGAAATGTTTCCAGTAAGTTACTTAACTTTATTTTGCTGCTAACTTGAGCATTAGCAGGTAACTTGCAGGTCTGGAGGCCATTTATGTTGAGGGTCGCTGGAATTTTAGACCCTTGCAATGTTTAAGACCTACACGTTCAGCCTCTTGAGAGTTACACTAGTGCTCCATGAAATTCACTTACTGTGAGCCTGTCGCCCATTGCACTCGATCCTGACTCACCACTTTGCTTGGTGTCCTCGTTTCACCGTACAGATGTCTGGTTTCCCAAAGCAGCCTTTACTCTTGCCTGCTGGGCTGTGACTGCCTTCGATCTTGTTGTTGCGTCCAACGGCACATTGACAGCCTGATCAGTGTATAGCCACTTCGAGTTTTCCTGTATCACTTTTACTTCCTAAAAAGATGCACCAAATGTGGGGTTGTCAATATCCGGAATTGAGTGTTTGTCTGACTCTCTCATCTTTCTTTAATAGGTAAATCTCGTTTGAAATGTCCTATCTGAAGCTCTGAAACAGTCTTAGAATCATAGTTTGACTACACAGAGTGTTTTAATAACACTTTTTTGGGGACTGTAAACAGTTAAGCATTAATTAGAATCTAGTTTAATTTTCACAGTGGTAAGTATTTTTACTCTTTGAGTCCTCCAGGAATGGATTTTCTGTTATGTCTAGTGTCTTTAAAAAAAAAAAACACAACAACTCTACAAACTCCATTAAACTTCCATGGGATCTAGAAATAAATTTTCTGTATCTATAAACTTATGTCTGTGGAGTTTAGTTCTTGTTTCAGATTTAAATGGAAAAAAAATCAGGAAGTATTATGGCACTGTTTAGGCATCTTTAGGCTATTATATTTCTGTGCTTGGTAAACAATGAAAACTTCATTCTTAATTATTAGGTTACAACCTTTAAGCCACAGAAAAGGATATTTTGCCCAGAAGTTTGGAGGTGCTCTTTGTGGTGAGAAGTACCCTATGGGAAAATTATTATTTGGTTCAGTTCAGTTCTTTGCTAGAGTTAGTGACTTGGTGTTTTGTTTTTTCTTTTCCCGGTGATGTTTGGTACATTGAGCTTGTATGTGTTTGGGGGTTAAAAATCACCTCCTGAGGATGGTAGACCTGGGGTCCTGGTTGACAACCAGGTGGGCCTGATTAGAGTAGTCATTTCCTGGTAGGCACAAAATAATCACCAACAGTAGCGTTGCATCTGTAATGTTTGTTTGCTTTTTAAAAACTTTATTCTTGATTTCTTTTCCTATAAACATCGAGTGCACTGAGTCTGTATCATTCCGTAGGACAGCCCTACACCTTGCCTTTGTAATCCCTTATATAATGTGGAAGCACAAAGAAACTGTTAAGCTTATATCATCTCAAGACCGTCTCCCACCTTTTTTGTATTTTCTTATCCTAAAAGCAGCCTAACTGAAAGTAAGTAATGCTCCTCTGGACCAATAGAAATGTGGGAGTATTTGTGACATGGTAAAATATTGTTATTGTCTGTGAGGCTGCTCTGACCTCTTCTGTGATCATTCTTTCATCATTCATTCATTCATTTATTCATTCTGCAAACATTCGTTGAGGGCCTGCTTTGCTTGTAAAGGCAAGCTGAGAGCTTCGAGAGTTTGCTGTAGCTGAGGAGCCCTGGGAGCACAGCTGATGAACCAGGGGATGCCAGTGCTGTCCTAGATGGAGCGACAGTTCTCCCGAGCAGAAAGATCAAGTGGATCCTGGTGATCGGCTGAGCCTGTGGGCCTCGTGAACAAGTCTGTTCTGTTCTGGAAACCAGAAGTGGCCTTCATCATCTTTGGAGACATTTTACTGTCACATCCTCTTTTTCAGACTGTGCTGTCTCTACTACTTAGGGATTGGAAATCCATTACAGAGTCACTTTTCATTAGAATTCGGTCATCCGCATTTGTATGAGATGGATGTGGGGATTTTGGAGGGTGGGTGGGGAGAGAAATTGTCGTCCCTCTAAAGTACCTGTCACGAAAAAACAGCAGCAGAACGTGAAGGAAACAGGTGGCAGCCTTTAGGAAAAAAGGAACAGAGAAGAGCTGTGAACAGAGCTCATTTTTTTTCAAATAAACATGCTTTAAAAAGTAGATTGACATCTGACGTTAAATTTCATTCTGACAAATTACCGAACAGCTGAAGATACTGTTTCCTGTGTAGGTTATAATAATTATTGGATGCAAAGATAATTAGTGTTTCCGGGTTGGATTTTTGAGATAGTATGCAAACCATAAGCACAGTTTAAATAAAACGTATTCTGTGAGGTGCGTTGAACTTTGTATTATTTGGAATTGAGAAGAGCAAAACTTGCTGACAAACCAGTGCCTATATCATAAACATAAACACAAAAAATAGCTGTTACTGTACAGGCTGTCTGTCTGCAATTTCACAAAGGGTACGTTGTTGCTAAACCTGACTACATATTTTGGGGGGGGAATCCCATGCTTTTATTTAAATGAACACTCAGTCTCATACTGCCTTTTGATCAACTCCCAAAGTGTTTTTGCAGCTGCATTTTGAGCATGACCAATCATTTTTCCCCCAAGTAATGAAAATAATTTTGCATGGCCTCCATCTAACCCAGAAAGCATGCTCTTACTACCTATGCAAGCAACTAATAAAAATATACAGACTACTGAACGCTCGACATAAGTTTAAAAAAAAAAAACCCACACAACACAATTCTTAGATTATGGAGCTCTGTTTTTGAATTTGTAATTTTTAAAATGTGGCTTAATCAGTATCAAAGAACATGAATGTGATTTCTTGCTTTGCACGTGTTTCTCTGCCGATTTTTCTTTTTTTTTTCTTTTTTTTTGATCATTGGCAAAATTGTATGTAAAATAAGTATTTTGCAAGCAGGAGTGGAAATGGGTATGTTGAACACTCACTGGTTTATATACTGTATTTAGCCTGAAGACTTTCTTAAAGTATTTTGTTCTAAAAATAACCTGCCATTTTCTATAGATCTTAATTTTTTATATCTTCTAGGGTTCCATTGTGGTCACAAGGGAAGATGTGGCTTCTAAAACTGCTAACAATTTTACAACACTTTTGTAGAGACCTGAGCTGTTCTGGAAAGCTTTGGAGCTTCCCAACAGCATGCTGGTCACAATGAGACTAAGCTGTGGAGTTTACAGTAGCGTTGACAGTGGGGTAGGTTCTAGAGCCATCTCACATTCGTCTGAGACCCGTGTTTCCCAATTTGGGGGAGAAGGGAGATCCATAGCAGACTGGGGAGGCTTTTTCAAATCTCCCACGCGTACTCTCCCCAAGATTCTGTCAAGCCTCTTC